ATTGCGATAGCGAAGTCCAAAAATAGTTCTTTACCGAATGTCCAATCAATGTCTTCCTAAAAAATGATGGATCAGATCCTGGGAACTATGCCCGTTGTATCCTCTGCCTGTAAACTCTCTCTCTATCCGAATCAGGAGAAAAATAAGAAAAAGAAGGAAGAAGGAGGAAGGAGGGAGATGAAGCAGGAGAAACTCAAGGAAGGGGGTAAGGATTAAAAGAGCCAAAAAATGAGCGAGGAAGAAGAAGTAGTAGGATGAAGACTTCGAGGTGAGTCGTTCTACCACTTGCATGAATGAGTTTATGCATATGACTTTTTCCCACTACTTGCACATATATGAGATGTTTATAAAAAAATGCTTACTTGATATCGAATCAGTAGTAGGAGGCTCCAGTGAGGGTCGTCTTATTACTTGTTTGAACTTAGTTTTATTTGTCCTGAGGGTAGTAGAGTACTCCAGGGAGGGTCGCTCTACTACCTGTTTGAGACTAGGACGATTAAGCGTTGAGAGGTGATGGGGTTCTTCAGTATGAGTTACCCTACTGCCTTGTACTGAAAGAATGGCACGATAAAAATTCCAATGCGAGTCGTCCTACCACTATATGTATTTGTACGTAAAAAGCTCGGTGTCGGACAAGTAGTGGGATGCTTCAGGGTAAGTTATCCTACTATTTGCCCATATATAGGTTAGTCGTAAGAGTCGCTTGCTCAAAATCAAGCCGGTAGTAGGAGGCTCGAGGGAGGGTCATCCTATTATTTGTCTGATCTTAGTCTGATGAGTATGAAGGATATTAGAGTACTTCAGGGAGGGTTGCTCCATTACTCATTCAAGACTAGAACGACTAAGTGTTGTGGAGTGGTGGGGTGCTCGAATGTGAGTCAACCTACCACTTCTTTTAACTTGTGGTTCCTCTGGTACTGAAAAAGTGGTAGGATGCTTCAGTGCAGGCTATCCTACTACTTGTGTGGCATAAAGTTACATGTACATTATGCGGTATTGGGCAAGAGGGTTGAAGACTCCAGGGTGAGTCATTTTACTACTCGCCTACCCGTCAAACCGGTAATAGGATGCTCCAGGGTGGGTCACCCTATTACTTATTTGACCCTAGTTTGAGTAACATTTAAGCAGGGGTAGAAATCATGGGATTTGACAAGCGGTGAGATACTCCGGTGCGAGTTATCCCAGTGCTTGCTTATATAGTTAATCTATATATATATATATATGTATATGTGTCTCATGTCTCATTGGTTACTGACAATATACAAATTGTTTGTCTGACATTGAACAGGTAGTAGGATACTCCAGTAGGGGTCGTCCTATGACTTGTTTAAGTTAAACTACACCATTTTCAAGAGATAATAGGTAGCTCCAGTGAAGGTCAACATGTTATCAGTTTGAATCAAAAGTAATTGACAGTGAAAAAGTGGTAGAATACTCTAGTGTAAGTCATCCTACTGCTTGATGTCTGCTTGCTTACAGACCATTTGCTCGAACAGGTAGTAAGATACTCCAGTGAGGGTCATCTGACTACTTGTTTGAAGTCTGTCTTCGTAGTATTTAAAACAGATAGTAGGATATTCCAGTGGAAGTCATCCTATTATTTATTTGAAGATTCACTTGCGCGATATTCAAAAAGTTAGTATGAGACTCCAGTGAGGTTCATCCTATTGCTTGTTTGGAGTTAGACTGCGCAATATTCAAAGAGGTAGTGGGAGACTCCAATGAGGGTTTTCATACTTACATCGAATCTGGTTAGGTTATAGCCCTCCGTTATATTTAAAGTTTGAATTACTGAACTTTAGGTAGGATCATGTCGATAGCAAAGGGGTGTTTAGACCATATCGACCTGTGTGTGATTGCATGTTATCTTAATCAAAAAGACTCATTATGAGTCTATATAAGATTACACGTTGTTGCCTTATGGTAACAGGTTGGTTCGCCAATTCAACCCTCACTCACCTTTTGACACCCACACTTTGCATCTACCTCTACATTGAAAGACATTTTTGTTTTTCAGGTCATTGTCTGAAGGGTCTGTGTTTGGTCAAGAAAGGTCATTGTATCACTGAATAACTGAGTCGAAAAGAGAATGTATGGATGAGAGGTTTGAAAGCGTAAATGTAATGTGTGTGAAAGTAAATGAATGACTGACTCTGTTAGGATTATGTAATATGATTGATTCTGTCTGCAGGTCAATAAAACGACCCACTATGCGTTATTCGCGCAATTCGCATTGACAACTTATGTTTACCGGAGTATTGACTCAGACACTTCATGGACGAGTAACCTTTGTATATTTGGTTTGGGTTTTTCGACTTTACTCTTTCTTGATGCTAAACAGATTAGGACAATTGACAAAGGTCAAATACCTTATTCATATCATGTTTTTTGAAATACCTTGAGTCTGCCTTTTATTTCTGATGCATGTTTGAAGGGTCATGAAGCTACTTTTATTTGTGATGTTTGTTTGAAAGACCAAGAGTTTATGTTATTGCTCTTCTAAAAGTTAAAGTTTGTCCACTCTTATGTTTATCTTTGTTCGTGTAAAAATGTGAAGATATATCATTGTCTTTAAAGTCTCAACCTTTAAAATGTAATCATTATGTGTGTATCGAGTTGAAAAAAATTATATAGCATATAAAATTTATGGGTTAAGCGCAAACAAATTAAAACGTTGCATGCACGGAAGTTCGTCAGTCAAGTTGATTTGAATCGTTAGTCAATCCAAAAGATCAACGCCCCGATGCCCGACACATATGCGGGTCGGTCTTAGGTGTTCAACCGCACGTATGCCTATGCTATAGTGACTGCGCAAACGCCCTCGACTGACTTACCTTTGCGATTGCAAGTAAAATCCTTCGCACGTGGGTCGGTAGCTCACCAGGGATATGCTTACGTAAGGGTGGTGACAACCCCTCAGGTAGAGGTGAGTTGTACCTTGTGGAGCTTTGTCCTGTTGCCGAGAGCCGTGAGAGGTGTAGCTGGCACGCATGGTCGAAGTGGTATCTTCGCTGACTCAAACGCAGTACCTTAATCCTACATGACACGACCGTGAGGTCCTACGCTCGCCGCAAGGTGTGGGACGGTCGTGCCCGACAGCGGTATAGCTTCCGCATCTGTGTCAAGGTGTCACATTTTTTGTGGCGGGCGACCTGGACGCAAAGTGGGTTTTTAGGGGACAAAAAAAATTGTCGGACCGGTCCTTGCCAAAATTGCGGATTACCTACAGCTAGCTCTAGTAGAACCAGGATTTTTGAAAAAAAGAAGGATCGGTCCTCGGGTGAAAGTGGACCCCAAAAAGAAGTGGGGGTGCTGGACTGGTCCTCAGGTAGAAACAGACCCCCAAAAGAAGTGAGGGCATGTGAACTGCAAAAGGGCCCTCAGGCCCAGGCGTTGAGGCCCGTTTTCTCAAAACAAGGAAGTCAGACACAACGAAACAAATGTTTTGTAAAAGGCAACTTTGACGATTTTTTGTGCTCGAGCGAACTCCCAGAAAAACCTAAAAATTAGAAAATCCATAGATGAGGCCGTGTTTTTTCCATGAATAATATTATAACATTTTTAAAAAATAATTTAGAATGCGAAATAATCGTCGCGCCGATTCGGCACATTTTTCATTTTTGCCACTCAGCCATGTGTGGGCCAGCTAAAAAGTTACTTGAAATTCAGTGAGTTTTCGCGCTCAGAAGAATGCATGAAAAAACTTAAAAATTTGAGTACTCGTAGATATTGTTGTGATCTTTCCAAGAAAAAATATCAATAAATTTTGAGAAATCATTCAAACTGTGAAATAGATCGCAGCCACAATTTGACCCATGTTTTAATTTTGCCATTCAACATCTTTCTCTCTCTCTCTATCTCACTCTCTCTCACTCACTCTCTCTTTCCCTCTCTCTCTCTCCCCCTCTCTCTGTGGTAGCCCCCCCCCCTCCCTCTCTCTCTCACTCTCT